CCAAGATGGAAGGAAACACTGATTTAAGACACTCAAAACTCGGCTGCGGAAGTAGATTTCGGATAGCTGTGTATCCCAAATTCTCCTTTACTGGTTGGAAAAATCCCTGTTGCGCCATCATCCTTAATGCTCCTACCCCTTTCTCAGGTGAGCAGATATTGCTGGCTCTGAGAAATAAATAGCTGGAACATTTGAGGAAAGTATTGCTGAATTGGCCACGCAGTTCAATTTTTCTGAATTCAGGAATAAGGCACCTTTGCTAACGGACCAGCTGAATTGTATCAACGTGGGCCAGTTTGAGGATTAAATGTTGAGGTAGATTTGTTCTTTGGACTGTTCTCCTTGTGTATTTTTGTGTGCAGCTTTTGTTCAGTTCTTCCCGGGGTTGATTCAGGCCTCGTCCCAAGAGCACTCGAAAATAATAAAATAAATCATTGCCAGTGTTCAATGCCAGCATGCTCATTGGAGCGACGGTGACCCAGATATGGTTCCCCACTGTGGCGGATGCTGCTGGAGAGAACTTTGAACGGAGGCCAGAAATTTTAAATTACGGTGGAGAAGGAACTGGGTGGGCTTTGTCGTTTGTCATTGAGTAGTGCTCCCTGAAGAAGGGAGAAAGAAAGCATCTGTTCAGACGAGGCAGGGAGCATCTTGCTTTGAAGCGGGGGGAAAAGGCAGCGTCCCTTTTTCATCTCCAAATGTTGAGGGGGCTTCTCCATCGTGCACTGGGCGCAGCAGGTTGCAAGGGTTGCGGTGGAAACCCATCTGTCCAGCAAGCCCAAATCTGGGAACATCTGGCAGGAAACCAGCTCCTCCTCAGTGCTTCTCCATTGCGGCACTCCCTGGGATTCAGCTCCTGCGTGGAAAGAGATGTCGGGGTGGCTTTCAAGATGTCATTCCCACCAGAAGATTGAGGTGGTCTGAAAGGAGCTGTCTTGAGTGCCGCCACGGTGTGTGAAAAATCTCCATTCCATCCGAAGGAAGATGTCCCCCCCTCGTTCTCTTTGGAATTAGAGTGTAGAGTTATTTAGAATTACACAGAATAGAAGAATAGAATAGAATAGAATAGAATAGAATAGAATGCAATGCAATGCAATGCAATGCAATGCAATGCAATGCAATGCAATGCAATGCAAT